ATGTAAGATGAAATAATTTGTAAAATCAAATTCTCTCTAATATGAAGAATTGTGTTTTGCTTTTGCAATTAATATTTCAAATGATGAATTTATTTTTCAGGCTTGTCAATAAGGGAATATTATCACCCTTTTCACAACAATAAGTATCACATGTGTACTAGATCTGATACATATCTAAGTACTTATTGATATAATCAGTTTCCACTAGAAAAATATCAGCACTTTTTGCTCCAAATGTCATAGGTTGCATAATCTGTGGATCTAATTTCTGACTCCACAAGTTACACCGTGATTTATCAACCCAATTTTGTCAAATGTTGTTCCACAAAATCATAAACGTAACAACACACGCAAAGATGAAAAAAAAATGTTTGCACGCGGTGACAATAAAACTGCGATATAGACGGAAATAGATAAGAAAGGTAGCTTTTTATTCGGTTTCATTCTGGTAGTTTTTTTTTTTGTAATTTTAATACAACAGTAAAATATTGACTGATAACCACAAAATAAAATGGACTTCCAAAATATCACACAATGTTGTTTGAATTGCAACTATTAAAAAAAATCCCTCTCAGGGTCGAGCGCAGTTCAAAAAATCTGTAAAGTTTCTTTGAAAAAAAAAAGATTTTGCGAACTGTTATTTGGCATAACCTCTAGGTCTACGTTACAACAAATATACAACAATACGAGTAACAGTGTAATAAGATAAGTGATGTCCTGTACATGTGTTTTAACAACTTATAAAGTTTTTTGTGATTGTCTACGACATATAGCTTTTTTAATAACACTATACAGTTTTTAGAATTCTTCTAGATCTCGTTTTTCTGAATTCATTAACCTATCATAATTTAAGCACCCCTACTCCGCCACTGTTTACGATTCGAACGCAATATGTTACGAAAATACACATGTTTATATTTGGTCTGGAATGCAATTATCTTTCTTGCCAATATTTTCAAACGTCATACATAATTTTTTAAAAGAAAAAATTATTCATATCTACAAGAGCTATTGCAAAGGCACTAGAAAATGACATATCAGATGGCAACAGATTAGACTTCGTTTACTAATAAATTAACTGTTCTGAAATAATTACTTTAAAATATTTACTTCCTCCTATGCTGCAGCCTCCATTAATAAAATCGAAACGAAAGCTCTGAAGCTCTCTAACCTGAAATTGATACAAAGAATTTTAGGCCAGTTATTCCTTAATAATATCATGTTTCTGTTATAGGATATAGCGAATTAGATGCTGCTATACAAAGACGTATTAATAAACGTCAGTCATATAAATTGACAGCATAACCCATACCGGCTTGTGTAAGGAGTAACGGTAAATTTATTTCAATTGTTTCAGTTAATAAGTATTTGTTCAAAGCGGAAGAACCTCTGAATAGCGTGGGTATGTTTAAAAATAATCCGTGCTTTAAATGCGTCTTATCCAGTGAACATGAATTGTTTTAAATGTTCTTCAACATACTTATGCGTGCATAAAAGCATAAAACATTATAGATGTGATATGTTAAAAGACAATAGTGTCTCGTACTACAAATAAAGAAACTGTTTCAGAATATTTAATAATAATTATAAATAAAATAATAATCTTAAACAGCTGCTATCAGTTTTTAATAGAAATTTGAAATTCTGTTAAACATTTTACCTGCTTATAATGTTACACAATTGATTTTTACATATACGTATTTTAGATTGTTGTTAAGGGTGTTAGCCAAAAAAAAATGTTTTTCTTTATATTTGTATCCTTACAAACTGTAATAATTGGTGTTATTAAATTCTTCAACACATTTTATTTTAAACTGACATTTGTGGAAATTCACGACCCATCTTACAAAAATTATTATTTTTTGTTGAATATATTTTCAGAATGTTACTTAAAATATTGCTTTTTTATATGTATTTAAGAGCAGGTTTATTTGAGAAACATGTACGAGTATTTTTGGAGTGTTGGTCACTTGCGCACGGAGGTCAGTTTACCTAGTGCTGAAGGACATTTTATCCCGTTAGTTATGTGCTTTAAATATATTTTACATTGTCCGTACGGCGCATGTGCTGTGGGGGTGTTAATTATGCCGCTGGTTTTTACTTTACAGAGGTTATCACAAAACGAAAATCGAAAAATCAAATTTTATAATTTTTTTAAAGAGCTGGATTTGTCGGATTATACTTACAGCCGTCGACCAATTTTGTATTGATCAAATTAAGAACCTCATTTTCTAGAAAATGTAAGAATGCCTACGTCTTTATTTAATTATGATCTAATAAGAATAATAATCATATTCAGACCATTTTGTTCCATTGTGACTTAATTAACAATTTTAGTCCTCTATTTTGAGGAGACAACTCATTCAAATTAAACAAATTTCTACGTGACGTTGGCTATTTGCTTTGAATATATTTCATATTGTCCGCATGTCTGTGCAAGGCACCCCCTTGGAATTTGCGCTCCCGCGGGGTGTGAGGTGTCATTTACACCACTGGTTTTTACTATACATATAAAGGTTATCAGAAAACAAAAATTTTGTATGATTTTTCAAAGAAGTGTAATTTGATTGACTGTACTTCAAAGACAACTTATGTCTGTCGAAGGAACCTTGGACCAATTTTTATAATTATGTAATTTTTTAAATATGTACTTTGCTATATTTTTACTTCCTGAGTGTAAGCTTAAGTTAATCGAGTCCATCGGGCGACTGGCCACTTTCATGTTTTCTTAACCACTAGATGTGTCGATTTTTATTAGGCAGATAATGTCTGAAAACCCCTGAATGATGGTTATCAAATTGCCTATATACATATATTAGGACCATCATGTAGATGGAAAAACACTTACCAAAATTGGTTATTCACCCGATCACACTAGGCACCTAGATTTTTGGAAAAACATCGAAATGGTATAAGAAAATTTTGCAATTTAACTTTAAAAATATCGTAATTATGGCAAATCGTTAATCAAAATTTATCCGTTTATCCAAAAAAATTGACGACGTCGTCTCAAAATTTTGCCAAATAAATTCTCTCTGACTGATTCAAATTATTATGACTATACTTGTAGGTTATCAATGCACTTATAGTTTTTAGAATTGCTTATATAAGGTAACTTGAAAAAATTAATGAATGCGGCAATTTATTGTACTGATTAAATCACGAATGACCCACTCCATTTTCCCGAAAATTTGGGGATATAGTACTGTTAATACCGGTCGTATTAAGCGCTCCTACAGGACCAACCCGGAGGAGAATTTACCTATACCCTTTTTGCAAATCTTAACCACCTGAGATAACATACCTACAGGCATCGTTTAGACCACAGCGCGCAACTGACCCATGCCCGCTTTTTCCACAAGAAGGAATTATGGCAATGAAAATATCACCTAATCATCTAATGACACACAAAATTTTGGTATACTATTGTACACAAAAAAAGGGCAACCGTGCATTTTGAGTAGGCAGCATTTTTTTTGTGGGTGTCATAAGATGGTAGGTCATAAGTTTTCGAGATCAAGGGTGTTGTTATTCAGCCGCCATCTCGAAAAAAAGGACGCAATTAATTTTTTTTATTTTACTCCATTAACCGTGAGTCTGAGAAAAAATTTGTAAAATAAATTTTTAATATAACATTAACAACAAAAAAGTTATATGCAGAATTTTATATTTTTTTAATGTTTTCTTTTTTGAGATTTTTCAAAACAGTTCCAGTACAAGCTAAGCTCTCTCCGCACCCTGTTGAGAAGGACTAAAATCAATGGTATCGAAAAGCCGCAGGTAGGGTAGAGATTAGGAGGTAATTACTAAATGAATGAGTTTAATCCCAGAAAATTACAGTTTTTCCAGATTTTGGGTGTTTTGGAAATAAATAAATAATGGAAATATATTAAAACTCAATGAAACTCAGCGTAATTCGATTTTACAGCGATGCAACTAAAAACTGTATTTTTACTTTCCAAGTATAAGTTAGAGAAGTTGAAAAACTATAAGTTTAGTTAATAAAAAGTGCAGAAACCGTCATGCAATTACTTATCAGCACCTATTTGCGTTCTAAAGCTTATTTTTAAAGAGCCTTTATTATTAGTTACGTTAATACACCTTTTATGGTGGTTTTCATACAACCTTAAATCCAGTACACTTTGTAAATACAAAAGTGTTATTAGGAGCAATAAAATGTTCTCACTACATTTGATTCTCAAGAAAGTTTCATTGTAGTAGCTATCGCCCGATTACCATTTCAAATTAAAGATATCGTCTTTGGCATAAAACTCTGATAAGTCATTTCTGAAATCCGATCCGCTCCGGGAAACCCTATAACTCAGTTCCGTTTTATCCGCTTGCAGCTATAAAAATACCTGATTCTATTCACTTTAAACTTGCAGTTCGTGCAGTTCGTTGAGTGAATAAAAGTATCCTTTGTCGAAAATCTACGAAATCAGCAACCTTGCCACTTTATTACAGTACCTAAGTTCGCTCTTATCTCCTTGTTTTGTCTTCTGTCCTCAGAAACTTAACAACATCTGCTCTCCACTAACAAGAGGAGCCTTAATAAGTTTCGTGCCATAAAAAAATATCAGACAAACTTGTACGAGACAAGAATGTAATTCCATTCGTCCTCGAGAACGATCAACTGCCACTACTTGCGCGGAATTAAGAATACAGTGACGAGATAATAAACTTGACGATCAATATAAAAATATGTCTAGACGTAAAGTTTTATAGAGTAGATGTCTAGTCTCGCTTTGATGTTATGCACAATGCTGCCGTAATTACTGAATGGGGCAAACAAATCAATTTTACAAAATCGACGTTATAATAACCCTCCCTTCGGCGTAAAAATAAAAAGTGCGAGGGTGGCGAAATTGTGTAGAGCCGTGAAACGGCGTTGCGTGCTCTATGCAATGAAGTCGGAAGAAATCTCTATCAGCGCGGTCTATTTTGGTTAATGAAAAATCGATCCCAAATTAAAAACCGTGGTTAACACCAAATTAAATTACCTGTTCCGCAAAATGGAGTTGTGACTTCGTCAGTCCGCACAATGACACGATGTAGGAAGTGAACGTCCCGACGCTGAGCAGCACACAGCAGGGCAATCTCAATGGTAATGTAACGTAAATTAGGTAGGTTAAGAGCAAAAACCACCCTAAGCTATCTCTCGATGTCACTTCGTTCTTCTTGAGGAACAGCCCGGACAGGATTTGCGTGTTGGCCATGTGGAAGGCAATGTGAGGCACCACGGCCCACAGAACCTTGTTCTGGAACCCCCTCTTGCAGAACAGGAGCAAAAGGGAGTTGAATACCAGAAATAAGCCCATCACAACCACAATGACAACGTCTTGGTCGCTAGGAACCAGCAGCATATAATTATCGAAAAGTATCGCCGTGATGAGGAAGCACTCCAACCCAGAGCGCTTCTGCCTCACACTAAAGCTCTGGTAAAGCTTCTCCAAAGAACTATCTCTGAACGTGTTATAAATAAAACACCAGTTCTTCATCTTTCCGGAAGCTTTCGGCTCGTCCATTGCAGCGATTGGTGCTTCAATAAAATTCGTACAAAATATACTTTAAGTCGTTAGTCTTACGCTCTTTTTCAGTACCATTATGACTTCGTTTTTTTTTACATTTTTTCAGTCATTTTCATCGTGATCGACGAAGGTTTATCGGGGTTTTCGAGCCGTGAAAGGGCGGCAAAAGTCGCGTTTCTTGCTTTCATGAGATTTATCAACGTTCCACTGCACGTGAACTTATACCACCTAACCTGCTACACACGTATGGTATCGATTGGCAGTCCAAACACCGGACCGATTCCGGTAGCCGGAGTAAGCTCACTGGTACCCGGAGTCTTCCTCACCCGGAGCATTTCAATGGCATCGAGCACTGCACGAGTAGGCGCAAGCGCCCTCCAGTGTCGGGATTCATGTGGAGTTAATCCTTTTCGAGGGTTGGGGGTGTAGCGGTGAGATGTAAAGTGCGTTCTTTCGGGCTTTTTCTATCGTTAATTGGAGCAAATCTCAATTTAAACTTCTGCGGAAGTGTGGGCTGTTTAATTTCGGTGCTTATCTTGATGTACGTTCGAACTTTAATAAGTTTTATTGCAAGTAAATCGGGGTTTATTGATGTAGTTGAAATTTCCGTGTACGGTTGAACTGAGTCGGTTCAACGCTTAAATTGCACATTTATGCGTCAGTTAAAATTTTATTTAATAACTGTTTTTGTTGAGATTTACCGACCGGACGAGTTAGTTTACTCATGACCTAAAACTAATTAAAGTAAACTTCTTTGCATATTTCACGACGGGAAATAAGCTTCGACTAAGACCTAGTCAGTGCTTTATTATTTTATGGTAGTTAATTTCAGGCAAAGTTTGCGTTTCAACATTTAAATAAGAAGGACAAACATCTAGCCTATTATATAAGGAAACACGTAACGCTATTATTCTTCAACTTCATTTTAAAAGAAAATATATACATTGTAATATTTTCGTTGTTCACTACTACTAAAGAAAAGTTTCTACAGTGTTTACATTATTCTGTTACAATAACGTTACAATTTCCTACACATACGAAACAGTATTTCTTGATGCCCATCAAATTTTTTAATAAATGACATGATGTATAATTTAGGAAGTGAAATAGTAGTAATAACAAAGGTTGCGATGTAATTGCGAACACTGTGAAAACAAAGGTTTGGAAAGTTTGTTAATTTTAACGGTTCGTAGGTACAACGATTCTGAATCCCCACATGTGTATTTGCGTAATTTAATTTAATATGCCCTGCATCAAAGTTAAGCGCAACTATAGCTATCTGAATAAAACGTCCACTATATTTATAAATTTATCGCAACGCTTCCAACAAAGTTCGCTTCTTCGTTAACTTATTTTAAAAACGTGATGAAGAGTTATAGGGAGCCCAAAATGATACATGTTACTCCGAAGCTAGAGTTATAGGTAAATAATAATAATCCTTTAAGGCCCAATAGAAGAAACCCCAATAACAGGACAAAATAAAAACTTAAATACATTCTTTAAACTATAAATATGAAATAAAATAATATGAACATTGGAACAAAAAATTGGTTTACTATAAATATATGGTTATCCTAATTCCTAATTAATTAAATTTTATCAAAAAATACCTTATATCAAGATATACATTGTTAGCATTCCGACATAAATTATGTACTCGTGAATTCCTTGATGCATTGGATTTAGGCGCTGGTACTCAAAACATAGATGAATAACGCGAAAATAAACGTGGCACATGAAAATTAATATTACCAAGAATCTGGGCACAATCTACATAGTTATGAATTAATTTCCACATAAATCTAGCATTTAAAATATTCCTTCTTTCAATTAGAGACTTAAAACTATGTTGATCTAGTGACAGCTGATAATCAATATTTCTAGAAGGAAATCACCAGCACGTTTAAAAGAAAGAAATTTCAAAAATCGTCTCTGAATACGTTCTATCTGTAATTGACGGTTTGTATAATGTGGTTGCCAAACAATACTTGCATGTTCCACTTTACTAACAATAAACGCAAAATACAAGGATTTTAATACCAATGGATTTTTAAAATGTGCCGAAGCACGCATAATAAAACCTAAAATTTTAGACAAGTTTGAAGTTAAAGTATCAATATGTTGTGAAAAAGTAAGATTTGCATCAAATATCACACCTAGATCTTTTATGTTGTCAACAAGTGTCAAAGCATTACCATTTACATTGTAAGCAGATGCAATATACCTCATTTTACGAGTAAATCTAACATAATGACATTTATTCCTATTGATCTTTAAACTATTGAGTGAACAATACAAAGTTATCTTATTTAAGTTTTGCTGCAATTTTACTACATCTTCAAAATCCTTGATGGTGAAAAAAATTTTCAGAACATCAGCAACACCAAGAACATTGCAAGTAAGAGAAGAAACCAGATTATCAATATACAACACAAATAACAGGGGACCCAGGTTTGATCCTTGTGGGACCCCGGATTATGACATGTATTCACTATATTTAAAGCCATTGTAAAAGACATAGTTAATCCTATTAGAAAGATATGATTCCATAAGCCTCACAAGAGAAGGAACAATACCGAAAGCACTAAGTTTATTTAACAATAAATTGTGGTCCACCGTGTCAAAGGCACTGCTGAAACCACTATAAGTGACAAATACTTGTCCTCTTTTGTCCATTTCTTCAGCAGTGTATTGTGTAACATTTAATAAATTAATTGTAGTGGATCTCCGAGCTAAGAAGCCATGTTGATTAGTTAAAATATAACGATGAGTATCATTAAAATGAAAGTATAAATGACCTGCTCAAATAATTTGACCGAGTTTGAAAGAATGGCAATCGGTCGATAGATTTTTAATTACATCTTATCATCTTTCTTATAAACAGGAGTCATTCGAGCTCTCTTCCATAAACTAGGAAATGTTGATGATGATCTGGCTGAGTTAATAATATACAAGAGTGGTCTTACAAGTGCAAATCTTACATCTTATACAATGAAGCTCGGTATTTGATCGTCTCCAGAAGTGTGTTTAGCAGGAAAACGAGCCATGTATTTAAGCAATTCATCTTCCGTAAGTGGCTGTAGCTGAACACAAAGACGATTTGACGGAATATCTTGAACGCTAACATCAATTTTAGGAAGATAAGTGTTTGAAAATATAGAAACAAAAGCATTAACAATATCTTGAGGAGAATCATAAATTTAATACCATCAAACATATTTCCAGGTACCCTTGTAGTACCTTTTTTCATATGCATATAGTTGAATATAGTGGGATTAGATATTATGGACTCTTCAACCTTTTTCATGTAGGAATTATATGCCAATTATATTTGAGATTTACACATCCTTCGCAATTGCCTAAATTCATTACGCATTGAGTCATTACGATGTGCTAGCCATTTACTTCTATATTTATTTTTAAGTTTTAAATTATAAATAATTTCGGGTGTAAACCACGGAGGAAACCGAATATTGCGTTGTTTGTAATATGGAGTAACTGAGCCTTTAAATATTTCATAAAAATGAAAATAAAACATCTCCAACGCATGATGAAAATTATTAAGTTGTTGTAGAAATGACCAATCTTTACGCAGAAGGTCGCCATAAAGAATATTAAAGGTAGCTTTCCAAAAATTGAAACGGATGTTGTATGTGACTGGAAAAGGATTAGTTTTTTCATAACTTTCTAAATCAAGATTGATTGATAGAGTAGAGTGGTAAGCATCTTCCTTGACAGCAATTTTCAAAATAATAGATCAAACATGTTTCCATAAGCATTTAAGATACCTATTATTAAATTGTGTTCCTTCAAGTGAATTTTGGAGAAATTGAATTTTAGAGGACGCCGGATTATGGAGCATGGAAGTAACGAACCGATTATATGAATTTGCATACCCCGTATTTTTGATATGAATTATCCTCTTTTAAAATGATTCACGTAGACTAATTATTGCATATTTTGCATATTTTGACGATCCATTGTATATTTTGTCGATTTGAGCATGTGTATGCATATTTGTGTATGTTTTAGTACCGTTGAAAAAAAAATCGAAGCTACTTCTACTCTGCTATTATCATAGTCAGCACTTCTTATAGGTCGCCGTAAATGGTTTATTAGGGGCATTAAATTTGATTTATGATTTCCACTTGGGGAAAGTTGAAGAACATCTGAACATCTATTTCAATTTTTCTGGTATTTTTCTAAATACATGTACCTGAAAATTTGTTTGTTGCAGTTTACATCAGCAGTTGGATTTATAAGGTTGGTTTGTCTTAAAAGTTTAACTAGCTACATGTCGACTAAGCATACAGTATTTCATACCTGATGTTGGCAAGTCAAAATGGAGAGAATAATTTGGTAAAATATTTCTAATTCATTCGTAACTAGACATTGAAGAAAGATCTTGGCAGCAAATTTTGTGAAAAATGCCCAAAGTGAAAAGAACCTTAATAAATTCATGGATAAAAGATTGTCCTGCACTTATTTCAACTGACGAAAATGTTTTCTGCAAAGTATGTGGGAAAACGGTAAGTGATATTTTTAAATTTATATTGCATATTGACATAAGACAGTTTTAACTTGTCTTTGTCTTGAAATTAAAATAATGTTTTTAGATATCTTGTTTCACCACAGCTTCATAAAAGAAGAGTCAAAATCTCCACGAATCAAAGCTGTGGCGAATTCTCTTCAAACAATCGCTTGTCGAAACTTAAAAAAAAATGAACAGTAAATATTTAATTCAGTTTTATGTAAAACATATTGCCAATATTCCTCATAAAAGTTGCAACATCCTTGTTTCAAAGCGTTTTTAGAAAAATTGTAAAGTTGTTACACCGGACGAAAGTACACTGACAAAAAATTATGTACAATCAGACTTTTTCCAGTATTAAAAAAATTGTTGAAAACCAATTTATATATTTTGTAGTGAACCAAAATTTTGGTGGTTGCGGGCGTTATATTGCCAATCTACTTGTAAGTTTATTAAGTGGTAGTAAATCGTATTTAGTTGCATTCACACAATTAAAAAAAACAATCATCTGACTGTAGTGAGAATTATTAAAAATCGTTCATGAATTTCCTTCTTCCTGATGTTGCGACGGAGAAGATTTTAGACTTAAACTTTTATATCCTAATTTGATTTGCGTTAAATATTTGGAGCACGGATTAAATAAATAGAGTTGCTGACCAAATTAGGCAACAATATCCAACTATAAATTCCTTAATAAGTAATGTCAAAAAATATTTGTAATGTAAAAGTAAATTATAGGTAATAAATGCAATTATAGACATTTCTCGTGT